TCCAGAATCTGATGAGCTAAGTACTTCTATGACCTCCTGACAAGTTCGTGCATTATGGCCAGCCCCCCCGCAAGTGCCACAATGTCGTACACCTGGTTGCCCCTCATTCCTACCAACCCCTCCAGAGCGCTTCTCACAATTTATTTGCTCTGTAACTGCCCTTTGGGACAAATCATCATGTGCATCCCCTACAGAAAGTGCACACCCTTGACGGACACGAGACTTTTTAGCCCTCCGGCGTTTGCTAAGAGCTTCGTTTGCTGCTCGAAGGGTGCGGACTTCAGCTGACAATAAAGTCATTTCATGTGCCAAAATCTCTGTCCCTTTAGCTAATGCAGTAACAGTAGCAAAAAAATGGGACAGTTGGCGAGCTTCCTTGGTGCCGTGCAATGCGATTTTTAACTAGAGTAGTCTGTGAGAGAGCATCTATTGGGTTGCGAGGCGTTTGAGAAACCCAAGGATCAGCGTCTATAGAGGGGGGTCCTGTAGGTGTAGGAGTCCGCAACTTGACGTCTAGCTTTGAAATGATTACTTGCGGATCAAAGGGCACTAAACCAGCTCCGCGAAATCCAGCTTTGGCGTTTTGAGTTGTTATTGACTGGTTATAAGCTGCGTGGAAAGCTATAAAAAACTCAACCTTTGTAATATGGTTTATATGAGCCTTAATAAAGGTCTCAATTTGACGCCCATACATGCATTTAAGAACACTAAAGCACCCAACATCAAGTGGCTGAGTTAGGTGAGACGAGTGAGGAGGTAGACAGAGAGTTATGATGTTGTTTGCTTTGCAATATTCCTGAAACGCAGCTGATTCGTGACTTTCATGCCCGTCTAAAACCAACATCCGATATGGTACTTTTGCACGACTGCAAGTATGTTTATCGAAGTGATGAAGCCATTCTAGACCTGTCTCGTTGTTGGTCCATCCATTGCTTGTTGGTTTAATTACCCAATTGTGAGGAAGGCCGCCTTCAGTATACCAACTTGAAAGGTGACATTTCCCTTGAACTACTAAAAACGGAGGGATACTCCCGCCTTCAGCATTCACACAAACAATTGCTGTAGCCCATTCCCGATTGCCAGGCTTAACTGCCTTGCCTCTGCCACGTCGATCGGCGCGCGTAACAACTAAAGCTGAGCTAATAACGCCCATCATGAAGCCCGTCTCGTCAAAGTTGTAGAAATCACAGTCTTGGATGCCGTACTTTGCTCTCATGTTCTGCACAAGTTGAAACCACGCTCCAATAAGCTCAGGATCTTCGCACAAGGCTCTTTGAAAGTCATAAACGCGATTAAAACGCGTCTTTAACTCGGGGCGGCGTTGTATAAATCGATATGCCCACCGCGTCCCAACGTGCTTTCCCCCACGCGATTCAAGGATATAATTTGCCATATCCTCCACACTAGCAGGCCGAGGCGCAAATCCTCTTGCATCCATATCCAATATATTTCGAATAATCACTTCCTCTTCTAGCTCAGTCAATTTAAGACTATTGGCTTTGGTTTCGCGTCGAGAAGTTCGGCCGGCCATTCTATCAGTAAGCGTAGAATAAGGCACTTTATATAGTATTGATGCAGACCTGCGTTAAGCGATTTACATGTTTGAAGAGCCTCAATAGCTAGAATGATTCGCGCTTCTTGGGTTTGGATTTCCATTGGTAGTTGTGGAGGAAACGCATGTTGAAGTTCGTAGGTAGCTAAGTAGGGAAAAGTTCACGACTCGGTGACATTCACAACTCGGTGACATTCACGACTCGGTGTACAACCACGTTATACTGCTTTGATAACTAGTATTTTAGAATGTCTGTCTGTTGGCCTAGCTGTGGCTTAAGTACCCACCGCTTCCACTTAGGTTCTTAAAAAATGAGATTCCTTGCATAGTATATAAATCATCGTCAGAATCAGTCTTATGCACTGCTACATTAGCCCATTCTGTCTGCTGCTCAATTCTCTTAGTGTCAAGATGATAATAACAGGTCTTATACTACGTAAAGATATCTTGAAAGTGTGCTCTTACTCGGTTCCTTTTACTTGCCTCACCACTACTTGGCCACAAGCTTGTAAAGACCTTAAGATTCATTCTTAGATCACAAATTGTAGCTACACTTAAGTGGCTATACTGCTGGTTTGTTGTAAGAGTATAATACTCATTTAGCTTATGAAGTGCTACATTGCATGCTATCCTAATTGTAGACTGCTTGCCTACTTCCTTTAGCATATGATTAAGCTTGTTAATCATTTTTAAATACTATGGAGTAGCGTAGTTAAGAGTAGGATATGCGCTAGCTTGTAACTTCTATGTAGGGCTTAAGAATATGATGAAAAATAGCTTAAGTGCTTTAATTGTTAACTATTCATTAGCATTAATAGGAATATCTCTCATGCTAACATCCCACTGCTGCGATATACAGATAGCTGTAATTGGCACTTGTAGCTTTGTTGCAGATTCAAGCATCTTATATGTTGAATTCTAGCAGACTGGCATATCAAGTGATAATTGTTATACTTCAAGCCTGCTACCATTGTTTGCTTCTGTAGGGCATCCTTCCATAACCAGCGATTGCGAAACACATAGATATGTCTCTGAAGTTTAGCAAGTGTATTCATAACTGTTACGATGGTCACGGAGGTCATGATCAGTCTGGGTAAAGTAAGCTAGATTGAATCTAAAGAGAGAAGAAGAAGAAAGGAAGGAAGGTGAGGCTATCCCTCATTATATACAGCTGTTCGCTTAGCGATCCCTTGTAACCTTGGTGGCTACTATAGCTGCCTGTTCCCATCCCATAGTTGCTAGCAGCTGTGAGCTGTGATCGTAACAATAACTTCTGTATGATAATCAACAGTTTATGGAATTCGTGTAGCACCTTGTTACGGCTACGGTAACGTGACGTCATGGTTACAGGACCAGGGCCTAGTAACGTGACGTGTGAGTCACAGGGGGCAAGTGGGGTAGGCTGCCATGTGACGGGGCTAATGGATAGTTGCAGAAACTAGTGGATATTGGATAGTTGAGCTATCCACAAACTATCCTGAATATCTAGCTATCCGCCAACTATCCAGATTACCCATGAGGCACGACGCCACTATATAAGTAGATAGTATTTCCTTAGATAGGAGCTTCGTGCTCAACTCAATATAGTATTATTTACAATACTGTAACGTGTTACTTGGAAAGCCTTTGTGTCTAATCCCCTGCCTCCTCTGTCAAGTCAACCTTACGCAAGAAACCTCTGTGTCTTCTATCGTTTAGAAGTCAGTGTTACACACCTAGCTCACACCTATATGCCTGCACCTCTGCTAAAGGGTCTGCTTTAAGTGTCTTTAAAGCATGTTAAATGGCGATATTAATGATGTGTGCAATACAATGTACATCGCCTTCCTTAATAGTAAATGTCTATGGCTGTTGCATACATGTCAAATGATTGCTAGTAAGTGCTCATACTTAGTAAGCATGACAGTGTTTGCTGATGCATTATCTCGTGTGCATGTAAAGATAGCACCTGTAATCCCCATGTCATCTATAACGGCATATAATTGGCTTGCAAGATATTCACTGCTGTAAATTGGCTCTTTTAGATGAACCACATCTAGCAGATTTGACTTCTGCTGCCACGTTATTAATCCAATGTGCTGTTACTACAGAGTATTCAGTGTAGTTGCATGTAGACCACAAGTTGGTAGTTAAGCATATTCGGCCCCCATTTGCAATATGAGAATGAAGTTCTGCTTGTAACTGAGCATGGCATAGTAAGAACCGCCTTTGAAGGTCGCAGTGTAGCATTCTAGCAGATACTAACAAAGTAATAGGGCTTAAGAGTTGAATAATTTAACGAAAAGATACACTATTAACAAGGCGTAATGACAGATTGTTTGATACCACAAATTGGAGCAGTAAATCTCTATACTTTGATGCGTTGACTGGCTGCTTAGTCGTTGTCTTCTTTAGTTCAAAGAATGATGAGCTACTTGACGGACTTGATGCTGCTTGCAGCTGGTCATTCTTTCTTATGCTAAATGAGATTTGCGGGTGCTTTTGGGTGTAGTGCTTCTATAAGTTGCCAGTTGATTTATCTGAGAATACCAATGGCTGCGGTGAATATCTGCAGTCTGGCTGGCTACAGATAACCCGAATAGTTGGTGGTGTAGTGTCTAACAGTGTACGCCTATATAGATTCTTAACAAATAGCGGTGAGGAGCTTGGTGGAAGCATTGCGCGGGGGGTCTAGAGACAGAGCGATGGAATAAGGGTAGGTAAGGTTGGCTCATCAACCTCGTCAAGGCCAATGTCATCAAGGCCAATGTCGTCAAGGCCAATAGGCACATCTGATAATGATGAGTTGCTCATTGTGTGTTATGGCATGCACATTACGAGCATATCACGACTATATTCAAGACGTTAGATTCTGAATACTTGGCAAGGCTTGGCATATATACGGGTATATACCACGTAGGTACTCCTATACCCGGCTAGTTTCTTAGAAAAAAAAAAGTAGGTATATACCCGGGTATATACCCGGATACGCTAGGTATATACCTACCCGTGCCGAACACTGGTAGTAGGAATAGTTATATTTTGGTTGTTTTTGTGGCCACTCGCTTGTGAAATACGTTATTCATACGTATTCATGAATAATTCGTGAATTTGAATATTCAAGCATAATATAGAGTTAGAAGTAAGAAGGGGCGTGGTGGGTGCTTTTGGTTTGATCCGTTTTTAGATTTGGCGTTTGGTTCTCGTATGCGAATGGACATGAAATCGCATGACTTGTTTGTCTCACGACATTTATTAGCTAATCACTAGCGACAGAGACTAAGCATAGATATATTACAGAGTTGAAGTCTGTATTTGACTTTATTAGCCATGAACCGGTGTTTGTATGAATGCATTTCTAAAAAGGCTCCAAGACTGTACCGATAGACCCTTGCTCTTTCAAGGTTCATGTCGGTTATAAAATCATGCTTCCTGGCAAAAAAGAAGTATGGACACGGCAAACCTGCCACGCCACCAAGGAGAAGAAAATAGAATCTATTGTATGCACGTTTGTTGGATCTACATTCCGATTCCATTGATTATTTTCACCCTCCCATTTTTACATCTACATCACCTCAAGCCCAAGCGCCAATCAAACTCATCCCAAATGCGCCCGCAAAAACCAACAAACAAGCCCAAACCCTCCTCCTCCCCCTCAAAACCGTCCAACTCTCATCACTCAAGAAATCCTCGCTCATCAAATCCACCAAACTCGTAAACGTCAACAACCCAGATGAAATAGCATTCATAATCCCGACCATAAGGAGGCCGACTTGTGAGCCGGGTGCGTAGAGGGTGCGTGTTGCTAGACCTACGGCTTGGCCTATTGGCGTCCTGAGGGTGTGTTAGTTGGGTAAAGGAGGAGAGGCGAGGGAAGGGAGAGCGAACGTGCAGCCGTAGGCGAGCGCCATGAGCCAAGGTTGGAGAGCATGTCTTCTCCAGCTTAAGACCGCAATTCTTGACCCAAGTGCGAGACCTTCGAATGTTTCTATTTACAAGTCATCAGTTCCGGGAGCTTTCACACCATATTGGGGCAGAAAGGTGTGGAAACTTACGATGGAAAGTAATTGCAATCAAAAGCACGATAAAATCATTTCCAACAGCAACACTGAGCGCCATCCCAATAAACACACTATGAAACAGAATCCCCATCTCCAACAGCAAACACTGCATTAGAGTGTTCTTGTGTTTTTGCATCTCGATTAGCGTGAGTGCTGTCCCATTCCCAGATGATGAAGCCATATACTGCTTAGACTCCCCTTTAGTTTGAGGGAGTGTATGGCGCTCCCCTGCATCGAAAGCTGCGCTGCTTTTCGTAATTCTTTGAAGCTCCCTTCCTGTGCTATTATTTCGGCCGTGTATGATTCCCTGTTCTGATCCTGTTTCGCTGTCAGTTACGTGTCTATACTCTTCCTTTCTACTCTTTTCCTCCTATGGGCTAGAAAAGAACAAACAAAAAACACCTACGCCTTTCTCTTTCCTGATTCCCGACACTAGCACCCTCTTTCGCATTCTCATTCCCGACACTCTCTTCCATCATCCCCACCGGCATTGCACACCCATTCTTCCCCGGACTAAACACCATCTCTACTACAGCAATCAAGAACACTGCAGCAAGAGCCAACGCCCCCGCCATAGCAGGATAATCCTTATTCCAGAAATCGGGCAGGCAGGGATCAGTGAGAGAAATAAACGCCGTAGGCAACAAATGCACGAACGCAGTAGCGATTAGGACACCCGTTCCAAAATGACGCACGATAAAGAGGAAGGTGGGTGGGATGCGGAGGCGGGGTGCTTTAACCACGATGAGAGGGAAAGCGCAAGCTGTTGATGACACGAAGAGGATGATGAACACAGCGGCAATGTGGAGGTTGAGGTTATAGTCTTCTCCATTGGCAGCCGTCGCACACGATGGCTTCGCATCATCTGTGGCTACTTGACGCGCGATCAGTATTCTCCTCATTAGTGAAGATCCCATATTAAATTGATGGATGGTCAACGGTGGACAATGAGAGTGTTATTGTATATCTGATCTGTTGGTAAGTTAGAATAAAATTATTTGGCAAGTAGTTACTTTTGGTTATTTTGGCCTATGCGGGAGACTCGGCAGTGTCAAATGGACGTCAGTTCACTCACCGATCACACGTTCTTTAGACCACAAAGCGCAATACATCCGCCAAATTCCTCAAAGAATCAAAATTCCAAAACTAATATATTGTTTGAGGTCTACGGTACTAAAGATAAACGTGCCGTTAGCCTCACCTTAATACCTCTCCCCAAAAGTTCCGACTCCAATTTTAGTTCCAGGAAGTGGCGTACTGAACTAAAGCCTTGCTGTACCCAACTCCTACCTACTGAAAGCCGATCCCAGCCAGTGGTGCGGTGCCAAGGGAGCGATAACCTGCTCACTGTAGCCTTTGGCCCTCCTTGCCAAGAGACAAGTTTCCCTAATTTGGAGTTCGGCCGGAATTACCCGGTTATGTAATTCGGGAATTCGGGTTTGTACGTAAGGTGAGTAGGGTTCGGGTGGCGTTGAGAAGATATCTTGGCGAAAAGTGGTTTTGAGGATCGAGAGGTTGGCCTTTAATGATGAATGAGCTGGCGAGTACACTGGTGAGCAGACCATCAGGGGTTAGCTCAGCTGACCCGAAAATGCTCCACTTTTATGACTAAACCTTGCACGTTGGTCAGCTAAGCTCGCGTAGCATCACATGATATGGTCAGGTAGGGCTAAAAACGGTATATAATAGGGCCCTACCAACGTAAAACCTGTAGGGCATGGCAACAACAACAGTAGTAACTCATTGCTAATGCATTATTCACAATGGATGAGATAATTTCACTACCTCAACAAGACCTATGGTCTAATACTGTTAGTATTGATAGTAGTCTTCAATTTGAGGATGAAAGACATTGGGAAGAACGACTTGTCACTGAAGAAGAAGAGGAGGAGAAGGTAAGAGCCGCCTAATATATACTTAATGCATTACTAATGCATTAATATCGAAACAACCACAGTTATTTCAAGCGATGTTAGCGACAAAGCAACCCGGGTAATGAAGGTAAACTATACAACAGATTTACCAGAATACCCCGAAACATCTGAAAATGGGGTCGCCTATATCATCAATACTTCCTCAATGACACCAGAAGCAGTTGATGCTATGTGTAATAATGTGTGTTCTTTGGTAATGTGTTCTTAATGCATTATTAATGCATTATAGGTCCAATATTGCCATAAACGACTTCAGCCACCAAAGCCAACGCACTGCAGTGTTCTTAACAATGCTTATTGTAAAAGGATAACTTATATTTGCACAGGTATAACACATTGTGAATATCTTCACCCACAGTTACAAGAAATGCACCACACAAAGCTCTGTGGTGACGATTGGAAGAAAATTATCAGCTATGGCAACAAAATATCGCTGAATCTATTCAAAAACAAGCAAATAGGTATGAATATTTTTAATGTATTAATAATGTAGTGGAGTGGTTTAGACAAGTTGTAACAAATGTTGAGTCTGAGAATTCAGGGATAAGTCAGAGGTTAGCACCTCACTGACTTTTCAGAAACAAGGAGTAACAAGATCAATGCTTGGAAGCTTGGAAAAGACGTGGAAGTATGTGATAGTCGATTTACTGTATTGTCTGCTTGCCCTTTCTTCAGGAAAGGGCAATCCTATTTATGCTAAAGGAGTGTAGTTCTCTTATTTTCCAAGACTTTCCATGACTAACCAGGCTTGGTAGCTGTAGTCAATGTAAGAGAATCCCATAGAACCATCTCTTGGGATCCTAGCCTATAGGAAGTGAAAGGAGGTCTAAGGTCAGAGTACCCCTATAGACAAATTATGTCATAACTTAACCAATCTTGTGGGTAACTAAGGAGCGATGACGTGTAATGAATCATAGAGGGTTGTAGAAGCTTTTGGAGCTATCGTTCATGTTCCTAGGCCTCTAGTTGATAGAGATATGTTAGCCCAGTAACTAAGGAGTGATGTCATGTAATGAATCATAGAGGGTTGTAGAGATATGCTATGTGGTCATATCGGCCCAGTAACTAAGGAGCAATGACGTGTAATGAATCATAGAGGGTTGTAGCAATCGTTGAGTAATGAATCATAGAGGGTTGTAGCAATCGTTGAGTAGTATTGCTCTTGTTGTTGGTGTTACGATGGTCACGGAGGTCAAGAAGCCAGTCCAGAGAATAATAAGCTAGATTGAATCTAAAGAGAGAAGAAGAAGAAGAAGGAAGGAAGGAAGGTGAGGCTATTCCTTGTAATATACAGTTGTCCGCTTAGCGGTTGTAGCCTTGGTGGCTAAGGCTGCACCCGTAACAACCGTAAGCTATAATCATAACAGTTGGTGTGACAAGCCAAAATATGTATAGTGACTTGTAGCTTTGAGGAGGAGATTTCTAAGTTTGCTCTTGAGTTTGATAGCAAACTGAGTGCAACGAATGTCAGTATGATAAGCCAGGCCGTGACCATGACCCTGATACACCTGAACTTGTTGTCATTATCGCAGAGTCCTATTGACGATAGGATTAGATGTGTCACTATGTGTGTTACGTATGTCAATAAACTGCCTGCATGAACTTGGAGCTTTATATTGGCTGTGTGGCCAGCCTTTGTTTGCTGAAGATTATGCGAACGTCGACGTGAAGGCGAGTATGTTCAATTTATATACTGTCAGGGTTACATTACTTTATACATAGAGCTAACTCTGCTGCCTAAATTCACTGATGAAGGTCCCATAAAATTCGACTTTGCAATATGCTACTCGTTGAATCTGGTCGCGTCGACATATTTCATGGCTGTTAAATGAGGCACCGTATTAGAGCGATTCAGCAGGTGTTAGACACCTCATTCGACAGTCCTGTATGTAGTTAGTGTAGAAAATTTGACCAGGAACCCTGTATAAACCCTGTACAAACCCTGCTCGCCATGAACCCCACTATTTCCTAAATAGGAAGTAAGACTGTCAGCATCAGACAGTTATCTGTTCAAGGCTAACAGCCAGCCAGATTCCTATTGTAGTTAGAATATAAGTTAGTAATCACCCTTGGATAGACGTCATGTAATTGTAAGGTGAATACAGTAGTATAGCAGTATTGTAACGCTGACTTCTAAACGATAGAAGACACAGAGGTTTCTTGCGTAAAGGTTTACTTATCAGAGGAGGCAGGGGATCAGACACAAAGGCTTCAAGTAACACGTTACTAGTATATAACAAATACTGTATTGAGTTGAGCACGAAGCTCCTATCTAAGGAAATACTATCTACTTATATAGTGGCGTCGTGCCTAGTGGACTCTTGGGAACTCACTCGAGTCCTCGGAGTCCTGGACTCTTAGGACTCTTCTCATCATCCTGCGAGTCCATCACGTGCCTAGTGGACTCCTGGGAACTCACTCGAGTCCTCGGAGTCCTGGACTCTTAGGACTCTTCTCATCATCCTGCGAGTCCGTCACGTGATACTTTCGGAACTACTATTCCCCGCTGCCCCTCCAGGTACCAGGGCCGGTCTCATGCGACCTCCCTTCTTCCTGTCCTGTAGTTGGCCAGCCTTCTTGTTCCGTCGTAACACTCGCTCCCTTCCCCTGGGCATTCGTCTCGAATCCTATAAGTACGTCCATGTCCCCGGGACTCTGCTGCTCCTCAGCGAGTCCTTCAACATGCAACATGCCTACTGACACTGCCCGCAAACTCCAGGAACGCAACGATCTTGTCCGTCGAATAAAGAACCACGGATACGAACTACCCGAAATGGATTCTTGCTCGAACTGCGTGAGGCGAAACGTTACTTGTGTGTCGTCTCCAAATGATTCACGGCGGTGCGCCGAGTGCGTTCGTCGCAACTTAAAAGAAAAATGTGACTGTATGGGTCCTGAGCATCCCGACTGGGTGAAGCTCGAACGGGAGGAGGATCGCCTGGATCGCGAAGAGGAAGAAACCCTTTCGAAGTTACTTCGTCTGCGGAAGCAGAAACGCCTCATCCGAACCCGTGGTAAAGATATGCTCCGGCGAGGTTTGAAAACCCTCGACGAGCTTGATGCGGCAGAGGAGGCCGAACGTGTGGCTGCTGAGAAGCGTGACGCTGTTGAGGCCGAGGAACAGGCAGTTAGCGCTGCCTCCTCGTCTGTGACCGGGACCTCCGCTTCCTCCGATCCACTGGCCTACTCCCCTGCATCTTGGGATCAATGGCTGGCGGATGGCGGCGTCGATATTCCTCCAGCAGTTCTTTGCTGATGTTCCTTGTTGGTTCCCACGAATTATCCGTAGGTTCGTAATTTTCCCATTTTATCAAAAACTCTTCTCGACGTCCTACTAACCTTCTGTCTAGGATCGCTTCGACCTCATATTCGATTATCTCATTCTCGGGTTGGAGTTCGGTGTCGGTCGCAACTGGGGTATTTCCTCTTGCTGGTTCCAGTAGTGAGACATGAAATACCGGGTGTAGTCTAGACTTCCTGGGTAGCTGCAGTCTGTAATTAACTGAGCTGACTTTGTTCAATATTTTGAATGGTCCCAATTTCTTGAAGTCCAACTTTGTGCTTGGTCGTTTCGTTTTGATATGTTTCCGGAGTAGGTATACTTTATCCCCCTCCTTGAAGGCAGGTTCCATACTGCGCTTCTTGTTTGCGTATGCGGCGGATCGTTCATTTAAGAATTGGATGTCCGTCGCAAGTTGTTCGTGGAACGATCTCAGTTGTTCCACCACGATCAGGGCTTGTTCAGCTCGTGATTCATCCGGTCTTGGTTGCCTATATGCTTCTGGCTGGTAGCCATAATTGGCAAAGAACGGTGAGACTTTCGTTGCTTCTGTCATCGCGCTGTTATATGCAAACTGTGCGATGGGTAAGATCTGAACCCAGTTATCCTGTTGATGATTGACATAGCTTCGCAGGTACTGTTCAAGGGTCTGATTTAATCTTTCTGTTTGGCCGTCTGTCTGGGGATGAAAAGCTGTTGACAGCTTATGATTTGTTCCCAGTAGCGCCATCAATGATTTCCAGAATTTCGAAGTAAAGAGCTTGTCTCTATCTGAGATGATTTCTTCTGGCATCCCATGATCGGCTAATATGACTCGAATGAAGGTATATGCGAGCGCCTCGGCGTCGCTAGCTTCTAGATATGGTATAAACTTCCCATATTTCGTGAGTCTTTCCGTGATGACGAGGATAGAGTCATATTCTATTCCTGTTAACGGGTCCTTGGAGGGT